AGTTAAACAGATTTCTTACAAAACCCACAGGGCTTTACACAAGCAGAAAACGCAAAGGTTCTTTTGGTGTCACAGCCAGGGTATGTTTAGTTTGAAAAGAGGAGATTAAGGGGGGATAGGATAGCGGTCTTCAGATACTTGAAAGGCTGCCATAAAAAGGATGGAGAAAAGTTGTTCTCTCTTGCCACAGAGGGCAGGACAAGAGGCAAAGGGTTCAAACTACAGCACAGCCGAGTTAGATTAAATCTCAGGAAAAACTCCCTAGCTGTAAGAACAGTCGGCCAATAGAACAGACACCTTGGGAGGTCGTGGAAGCTCCTTCACTGGAGGTTTTCCAAAGGAGGCTGGACAGCATCTGTCCTGGCTGGTTTAGACACAACAAATCCTGCATCTTGGCAGGGGGTTAGACTACATAACCCTGGTGGTCCCTTCTAGCCCTATGATTCTATGATAGAACAGTGATGGGTGCAATAGAAGAACCTGAGTACAATGGGGAGAGACTGTCTTTGTTGTTCTGTGTTTGTACAGCACCTAGCACAATGGGGTTGTGGTCTGTGTACCTTAGTGCTACCACAATAGCACCTTGTAACCTGGCATGAGGCTCCTGGCTTAGCTGCTCTCTGCACTCATTCTCCCTTGTGTTTAACAGAAGGCCAGGGCTTCCTGATGCCTCAAGGAGGAGCAATGCTTCATTACCCTGGTATCTTCCACCTGCGTGGGCAAGGGCTGCCCCAGACCTGAGGCAGGAGTTAGCTCCCTGTTGCCAGTTGCATGGCAGAGCCAACTCACCCTGTCTCAATGCTGCAAACAAGATATGAAACAGGAACAATCATACATGTCCCAGCACTGGCTCATTCCTCACACCCGGCTTTCACGAGGAAAGCCCCTAAAGCCTCTGACCATTATCAGGGGCTTTAGGATCTGTCCCTCTATGCCTGTTGCTTGTGCAAAGCACACGAAATCTCAGCATTTGAAATGGGAATCAATTTCCTGCACTCCGGCTCTGGTGAATACTAGCTGCATGTTAGTGGCTTACAGTAAATCTGCAATCTGCATATGTGTTCCCCTGAAAAGCGTCTCGAGCCTCGATTTCCTGCGTGGCTCGCTCTGCCGAGCCAGCCTGCTCAACAAGCAATCTGCAGTGCTAGAAATCAGGAGATCCCATAATGGGAAAGCTATTCCTGCTCCAGCACATCTGCAGGTGGCCGCTCGCCACAATCAACTACACGGGCAGCAGCACAGAGAGAAGGGCAAAGACTTTAGGAGATAACAATGTATGCCGGGGGCTCTATGCAGTCTACACAATCTGCCTCCCCGTACACTGAAACAGAGTTTGTGCAGGTCGAAGAGTGAACCAAATTAAACACTGCCATAGGAACAGATCCATCTTGCTTGACCCCTAGAGTGGTGGGAGCTGTAGAGTATTTGACATGAGACAATGCTGTAACATCTCACATTTGTTACAGTCTCCCTCTAGAGACCCCCCCATTCCCCATCAAACAGTGCTGTGAAGCCAAACCTTCTCCCCCAGCGCAGGAGGGTACCATCTGCAACCAAACAAGAACAAACATCCATCTCTGCTATTGGCTCGATCAAAACTATTTCGCTCTTACCATTACGCCGCAAATCAGAGCATCCCTTCAGGCTGAGATTTTGGCAGAGCAATTTCAAGATCCTGTGAGTTTATACAGTATAGTAAACAAACACAGGCACATGTCTTGGCAGCTCCTACTTCAAGAGACCCTTTCAGGCGAGAAACCATATTGAAAAACACATGACTGCCTCTTCCACCTCCCTCGCCACCTCACAGATGATCACAAAAAAACTGTTTTAAAAAAATCAAATGTACTTTTCATTCTGTCTCATTTATTTACTTTCTGCAGTTCTTCCAGGCGGGGCAACGAAACCAGGCTGGTTAGTTTCACTCTTGTTTCCAATCAATTCTGCAATGTCTGGATTGCACACACTACATCAGGAGGGTCGATTGATGAACAACATGCTATTAATTGGAATTTCAAACAATCCCAAAACATTCCTGCTGGCCTTGGATTTTGTAACAACCCTTCTAAATTTCGCAAAAAGAAAAGGAGGACTTGTGGCACCTTAGAGAATAAATTGGTTAGTCTCTAAGCTGCCACAAGTCCTCCTTTTCTTTTTGCGAATACAGACTAACACGGCTGCTACTCTGCAACCTGTCAATAAGGTTTGAGTACTTCATAACTACACCTATATGGAGAGTCACGGTAGCTAGTTTAGTTCAAGGGAAGAAATAGCTGCACTGTACCTGGTGGTGAATACAGTAGACAGTGCTGAGACAGAATGAGCTGCAGAGGTTCATAGCGCTCATCATCTGGCCCCTATGTAAAATGCTCCAGGACCAAATTCTCCTCGACACTCCAGGCTCCATAAAGTCATTTATTCCGTCACCGAATCTAATCAAAAGCCATTGGACCTGTGGGCTGACACCTCAGCGCTAGTTCAGAGCATGTCAAGTGTTCATCAAACTTACGACCATGTGAGGTTCAATGGCTTAGTCTGCCCAGCCAAGCAAATCATGCATCCCCTGGCCAGCCCGGCAGAACCGCACCCTGCCATGTGACTCCACCTCCAACACTGATAGGCACCAGGACATGTCCCACTCAGTGGAGACTGGGGACGAGACCCTGTTTAGAGAGTCCTGGATTCCAAGGCCAAATGGGAACACTGTGATCCTCCAGTCTGACCCCCCTGTATAGCATAGGCCAGAGAATGTCCCCACAATAATTCCTAGGGCAGATCTTTTAGAAAATCATCCACTCTTGATTTAAAAATTGTCAGTGATGGAGAATCCACAAAATTTACACGTTATTTCCGATCTGAATCTGTCTAGCTTCGACTTCCAGCCATTGGACTGTGTTATACTTTCCTCTGCTAGACTTAAGAGCCTAGTATTAAATATTTGTTCCCAATGTAGGTACTTACAGACTGTGATCAAGCCACCCCTTGACCTTCTCTTTTTTTAAATTAAATGCATTGAGCTCTTGGGGGGGGGGGGCGGGTATCATTTCAGGCTTCTGAAAGACCCATACGTAGTTAGCTGCTGAGAGTGAAGTTCCAAGCTGAACCTGCTGGGATTTGAACCTGCCGGTTCAGGGAGTTAAAGCCGAATGCAAACCTGATGCTCGCCCCATTCCACTAGAGAGGCCTTATTCCTCATAAAATAAGGACATGCTCATTCAGTGTGCACCGTGGGCCTGGTTTTCACCTGCACGGAGCTCGCACTGAAAACCATGGGAGCGACAGAGAATCTGTACCTCTGAAAACCTGGCCCCAGGTGTCCAACTCGGAAAGGCACCCAACATTCCTGCCCCGCCACCCACCTGCAGCTCCATCTTGGGAAACAATCAAAAGAGGGTTTTCTTTGGTCACCAGTCAAATGGGGGGGAGTAGGGGGGCTCAGCTTAACTCCCTGGGGGTGTTTGTTGGCACCACAGAGCTATGGCATAAATAACTGCTGCTCACGAGGGGCCGGATTGGATCAGACAGGGCAAACCGCAGGTCAGCACTGAAGTGCGTTGGCAGAGCTGCAGGGGGCAGGGCTGGAGCAGCAAGGCAGGGCTGGCAAAGCTATAGTTAGGGATGGGGATGGGGATGTCAGGATTAAGAAGACATCAGTGGGGTTGCAGCTCAGGACTGAGGGGCATTGCCGGAGCTCTGCGCCACAGACTAGAGCAGGTTGTTGTGGTCAGGACTGGTGCAGGGTAACGGCCACACAGCACCCGCCTGGCTCCAGCCAGGGCTGCATCCCTCATTTTCATGAACGCTAACCTAAATTCAGAGATTCCCCAAACACTGGGCCCTGCTCGGCCTGGAGCCTATTGCAATCAGCCCCCTCCCAAAGAGCTGTTCCTTTGCCGAAAGGCTCAAGGTTCATTTTTTCCCCTTTTCACTTCAAACTCTCCCCGCCCTCAATTAATTCCACTCCAACACTAAACCACTGCTGTTACATTATTGATACCATTGCAGCCTGAAATGTTAGAGCCGCCCCATTGCTCTGCTGGACTGGGCTGGGCTACGGCTTGAACCAGGGGGCCCGAGGGGCTGCTTGCTTGGGGGGTTAAAGCGTGGAAGAAACACCCTCGTCTCCTGCTGCATCTCGCTCCCACCCGCTGGATGCGAGCCTGGCGTGCCGAAGGGTGTGTGTACACGAGGCAGAGGATAGATGGGGAGGGGGTGACTGGGCGAGTAGCACTGAATTATTTTCCACGGTGCGTACCCTGTGCACTTGGCTACAGTTCTAAGCACCGCTCCCAGGCACTTAGGAATGCCCGAGTCCATGTTTGGGCAAAACCCAGCTGCAGTGCGACTCGGGGCTGGGTTTCTCAGATGAGACGGCCGTGCAGGGCAGCAGTCCCCAAGCCCAGCTGCCCCAGAAGCCAGTTGCAATCAAATAAAGGATCCTATCATCCTGGGTGTGCAAGGCAGGCGAGTGGCTCGGGAAAAGGCCGGGGGGAATGCAACCCCACAGCCACGGTACTGCACTGGCAACAGAGTGACCCCAAGGAACATGCAGCAGCCGAGTGAGAGGGCGGCTCTGGGATTTAGTCGCTGTTGCAAGGAGCACCATCACCACCACCCCCATCCCAGCCAGAGGGAGAGCGGAACGCCTGCTTTCCCCTCCCTGCACCCGCTCCAGCCTGACAGCTCCGGCTTGCAAGCTCAGCTGGGCACCCAGGCAGGAAGGAGCAGGGCACAGATACCCGCCGGCTCCCCCTCCCCCTGCACATCGGTTCATTGAGGAGAAAATCCCAACAAGCCTCTATAGACCCCAGGGGCCACCCGAGCCCCGGGGGCTGCTCCCCAGACCAGGCAGATCGGGGAGGGGGGTTCTCCCCGCCCCGCCCCCTGAGTTCCCCTGGGGGGTGCACAGCCCCCCCCCCCCCGATCCGGCCCAGCCTGCCCCGCAATCCTCCTCCCTCCCTTCCCACCCCGCCCCGGGGGTGCCCCGCGGGGCCACTCACTGGCTTTGCCGGGCTTGGGCCGCTGCAGCAGCTTCTGCACCGTGCCCACGTCCTCCGCCTTCACCGCCTGCATCAGCTCCTGGTCCTTGCCCATGGCGAGCGGCCGGGCGCGGCGGGCAGCGGGCCGCCCTCAGAGGCCGAGCATCCTCCGGCCGGGGCGCGGGGCCCCGAGCCTGCTCCGGGAGCGGCGGCGGCGGCGGCTCACACGCCCTGGAGCCGCAGAGCCCGGGCGCGGCGAGAGGGGAGCCGGGGGGCGCACGGCGAGGGCCGGCGCCCGCGATGCATCCGCTGCAGGAGCCCCCGGGGCCGCAGCCCGGGCAGGAGGGGCGGGGGGGGGGCGCGGCTGCTCCCCGCTAGCGGCGCCGCCGCCTTTGCAGGGCTGCTGCCCCCCTGCGCCGCGCCGGCTCCTCCATGGCTGGGGCTCGCCGCCGCAAGCGCGCCGCTCACTGGCTCTCCGGTGCCTCCGGAAGGCGGCTCCTCCCTGCCAAGCCGGGCAGCCGCGGCGGCCGCCTGGGAAGCCCCGGTGCAGGGGCTGCTCGGCTCCCCCCTCCCCGGCGCGCCGGGCAGGGGGCGGGGAGGCCGGGGCCAGGCCCCCGGGCAGGGCAGAGCTCTCCCGGCCCAGAGCCGGGGCGCGCTCCGCCGGCGAGTCCCCGGGCAGCCCCTGGGGCGCACGGACCGATCCCTGGCAGGGCACCTGAATCCCCGCGGCTGGCTAAGGGCTGGTGACAGGGGCGGGTCTGTCGGTAGCTGAGTGGGGCGGGGGGGGGAGGGGTTATTGAATGGGGCGCCTGGGAGTGGGGTGAGCCTAGGGAACGGGACGTGGATACATGGGGGGGGGGGGCAGGGACTGGCTGTTCCTTACAGGTTCCTGCAGCCCCGCTCCTTGGCTGGGCCCCCGGAGTGTGCCCCAGCGCGGCTGCTACAGCTCTGCAAGGAGCCGGGCCTGGCTGCCGGCCGGGGGGTGCCCTCACCTAGGGTGTTTCAAGCTGAGCCTGGGGAACAATCTCGGCTCCTCCTGGCTCTGCCGGCCATGGAAGCACAGGTGCAGGGGGCCTCCCCCAGGGCTAGACTCAGAGACTTTAAGGCCAGACCTTAGTCTGACCTCCTGCACATCGCAGGGCACAGAACCTCACCCACTCCTGTAAGAGACCCCGACCTCTGGCTGAGTTACTGAAGTCCTCAAATCTTCATTTAAAGACTTTGCTACGGAGAATCCACCGTTTACTCTAGTTCAGACCAGCAAGTGACCCATGCCCCACGCTGCAGAGGAAAGTGAAAAACCCCCAGGGTCTCTGCCAATCTGACCTGGGGGGAAATTCCTTCTCCATCCCAGATAGGGCAATCCTGAGCATGTGGGTGAGACCCACCAGTCAGACACCTGGGAAGGAATTCTCTGGCGTAACTCAAAGCCCTCCCCATCTAGTGTCCTGTCTCTGGCCCTTGGAGATATTTGCTAATAGCAGTCACGGATGGGCCATATGCCATTGCAGGCAGTCCCATCACACCATCCTCTCCATAAATTTATCAAGCTTAGTCTTGAAGCCAGTTAGGATTTTGCCCCCACTGCTCCCCTTGGACGGTGTTCCAGAACTTCACTCCTCTGATGGTCAGAAACCTTCACCTAAGTTCAAGCCTAAACTTGTTGACGGCCAGTTTATAGCCATTTGTGCTTGTTCCAACGCTGGCCTGTGACTTAAACAACTCCTCTTTTTCTCTGATGTTTATTGGGGGCTTCATTTGTCCACATGACCAAATCAGCACAGGATCCAATGCAATTGTGTCTGAATTAGCAGCAAAGATGGGGGTGGCATGGGGGTGAGGGCACTACAGGTGCTGGAAAGGCTCTGCTCCCCATTAACAAGGTACTTCTCTGGTAGCCCTTCCTCCTCATGATCTGTACTGGGTGTTGTGTTTTTATTGAGGATTGAGGGGCATGAACAGATCTCTGTCTGTGGGGAGCACAGGGGTGGAATGCAACAGGCAGGCCAGGGGTTGCAGGTCAGGATGGGGGGGCATGGGCCGAGCTGGGGGGCACAGGGGTGGAATGCAACAGGCAGGCCAGGGGGTTGCAGGTCAGGATGGAGGGGCATGGGCCAAGCTGGGGGGCACAGGCGTGGAATGCGACAGGCAGCCAAGAGGCTGCAGGTCAGGAAGGAGGGGGGTCAGCAGAGAACTGTGCTGGGGGAGGAGGGGGCAGGGCTATGGACCAGGCCTGAGGAGCACTACCAGAGTGGTGTGTGGAGAGCCCACTACTGGCCTAGTGGGGCTACTGTGGGCCACCACTGATGTGTATGGGCAGAGCTGCAGGAGGCATTTGCACTGGGGGGTTAGCTCCTGGCTCCCTTTCCCTAGCCTCACATTTGCTCAGACATTTCCCTTTCAAAGCCAAGGCTCTGAAGTGCCCTGTGCGATCTCCTCTTCCCCTTTCCTTCCTTTGGCCTTGGCAGGCACAACATATCAGGGTTTGGCCACTAATAATGTGGAAGAAGTGAGCAGGTTTCAGTTTCTTTAAATAAAGTCCTGATTACTTTCTAACTTTCCACTTTCGGAGCCAGATGGCCAGGGACATTAGTCCATCTGCCTTTATTTTATTTTTTTTAAATGGGTGAGACATTAAAAGTGTGGAGATGAGAAAACGCTGCCAGGAATGTCTTAGTCTATAATGGGCTAACAAGATGCTGAGAAACCTATTGTTCAACATGATTGACTAACGTACCCGGCCTTAATGCTCCAGTGAAGCCGAGTAAACATGGTGGTGACGTAAACGCCCCACGTGCATAAAACTGGGTGGAAACAAAAAGAAGTTCAACCAGACTTCTTTTCCGGGCCACCTGCCTTGCAGGAGCCTTGGTTGGTGGGGACCCTTTTGGAGTGTTTGCCCCTGGGGCTGGTGAGCTCAGGGGCTAATTGCCAGAGAATGTCTCCACCAATCAAGGCTCCTGAAAGGCAGATGGCCCAGAAAAAAAGTTTGGTTGAATGTTGTTTGTCCCAGATTCTGCGTTTAATGCAGGAGGTTAATGGCTGCAGTGCAGTGGACTCGGGCTACAGCAGGTATTTGGCTGAGTTCAAACCCAGTGCCTATAACCTCAGCTAGAGCACGCAGAGGGGGCAGTGAAGGTGTGAGTCTTAGTTTAAAACAATAACAACCTCTGTAAGCGGGTCAAGGAAGCTTGACACTACCTGAGCGTGCTGCAGCCTCCTTCCCTGACCACTGCCCTTCTCCACACGAGCCCCCTACCCAGGCTGTGGGCCTTTGGGCAGTACCCCAACTACTGTCTCCAGAGCACAGTCTTCCAGGAAAGCTTCCCCCGTTCTCTGCTGACCCTTCTACCCTCCGTGCACCGTGTCTCTCGCCAGGATCTGAGCATGTCTTTCTAGGCCTCCTCCCCGCCCCCACCCCCACCCCCGCTTGGCAACCCATGGATTCCAGGATGAAAACAATTTCTAATCTGCCCTTTAATCCAGCAGCATATCGTTATGCCATTGGCTGTGGGATCTCTGGTTGCTGAGGATCTCCTTCATCTAGCTCTGCAGAGCCAGGAGCTGCCTTCCTGTTCCAAGACAGCGTGTGCACAGTGAGGTCCATGTGGAGTTCATCGGCAGTGATCGGTTTCAGGGGGTCCTACGTGCTGGCTGCCATCACCTTGTCATAGGGAATCACTGGCATCTTGTAGGTTATAACAAATCCTTCCTTCACCCTGAGCATCTCCTCTCAGGCCCCTTGTGTCTACAAGAGTTTAGCTCCATCCCTGCTAGGGGCCTAGATTCAGCAGTGATGGGTACAGGAGAGACACCCATAACATGCACAGATGTCCTCTCTCTTCATTTTGCAGTGGGACTGGATAGGTCTCCCCACTCCGGACGGTACCGCTGTGACCAACTGACTATGCGCATCAGCAGGGTTGGCACTGGCAATGCATACGCCCAGGCAGCAAGCCTTCCTCCTGGGGGCGCTAGAGGGCAGCGAATCGAGAAACCAGAGCAACACGATTCTCCATCAGCCAAACAGCGAGACCTTGAGCCTGGGGTGCACCTCAGTCCTGGGAGTAGCATCTCTGTCACTGTCCCTTCGCCGCCCTCCCTCTGCGGGTGTGACTGGGCCTTCGGTCCCCAACCCTGCCCTGCACATCTGGGCAAAATTAATTCCTGTGTGGCAAGAAAGGAAGTGGATCTGTGGCCCCACCCTGTTCAAGGAACGCCCAGCAGCCCTTCCAATGCTTCAGTCTCGTGCCCTCGGCAGCGCTCTGTCCACTTGCTCTGAACGTGACCGTTTGCATGGAGTGACTCTGCTGGGCTCGCAGAGATCCAGCAGATCTCGTATCTTAGATGGGCCCCTTGGCTCAGCCCACTTCTCTAGCCAGTCCTCGAGCTCTCCCTTATCTGAGCCTAAGCTCTCTGCGACTCAGCTGCCTCCATTCCTCTGTTGGCCTATCAGGCTGTGCCCCAGGCCTCTCTCACTCTACCCATAATCACTCCACTGTCTGGCCTTTCGTAAGGGCCGTAACTCTGCATGCAGCAATGTTAACAAGGCCGGACCCTGCCCTCCCGCTCCGCCCCAGCCCAGGGGGAGGACAGGATTTACTGGAGGCTCTACGTGTGCAAGGAGGGTGAACTGAAGTCTGTGCAATGCTGATGGCACCAGCTCGGCCGCTGTGGGACTGAACCAGGGACCACCACTGAAAACACACCTCTCTACAGCTTGAGCGGCAGGCCCAGGTGTTCCAGCTTGAGCCGGGACAGACACCCCCCGCTGTGGGTCGGGCACGGGGCATGCACTGACCAATGGGCTACATAGGCACCAATTCACCTGCCAGGCACCTGGTGCCGTCACTGCACAGTCCTCACAGAGCAGATGCCTCCGCCTTGAGCATCTCTAAACCCAGCTCTCCTCCATCACCAGCACTGTTCCCGGGAGCTTCCAGCCTCCCCCCAAACCCAGGCTGTCTCTGAGAAGTGTTGTTCCCAGCCCAAGTCTGTGATCTTTCTGCATCTAAGCCCATTCATTGACTAGCCCTTTGGCAGCAAAGTCTCATCAGTACCCTGCCCATGCCTTACCAGGGCCTCTCCTTTGATCAACATTGCAAATTGGCTTCTCCTAGATATATAAAAGACTCCCCCATGCCCCAGCCCTGTGCTGGCCCAGGAACCATGGGATTCTTTAACAGCTTCACCTCGTTCCAGCTC